GGCCTTGACGGGGAGGTCGGGGCTGGGGAGGAGCGGGGGGGCTGTTCGAGCTTGGGGAAAGCGGGTTGCCAACATACATCAGAGCGGTCCTTGGACGGAGCCCTGAAGGAGCATCTCACAAACCCTCGGGGGAGGGAAGGAGGAATCCAGAGCCGGGACGGTGGCCCAGAAGTCCGTGAATTCGTGCAGGTGACAACAAACTGTGGTGACAGAGCTGTGGGCCTGCTAGACACTCCTTTTGTCCAGGTTTTAGTGCCATTTCTTCCACCTCGAATGGAATATCATCCTTGAAAGAGTAGAAGTGTTGGACCAGTAAAGGATGGGGAGGGGGGAAGGAGGCAAACGGTGCAAGGGCTGTTACCGTTATTTCAGTTCCTGGGATGCCTCTACCCTTGCATCTTTCCCGTGTCTGTAAGCTCTGCCAGGCAGGGACTGCGTGGTCCTGCATATGGGATAACAGCTGGATTCACTTTTTAATTACACACCTATCAGCTTTTTTAAAAAATAAAAGGGTCTTTCCCACTCCCTGCCAGCTAAGTGATGATCTTCCTTCTATTGGTAACAAGGAGCTCTTTGGTTCAAAAGCACCCCTTCCTCTATTAGCTGCTGCCTAAAGTCTCCTCTTCCCATTTGTTTATTGAATGTGATGAACTACTCTGTGTCAGATCCTCTTCATCTCCCCAAGTCAGTACTTTCCCCTGACAATTATTTTTCAGATAAGGCTGGAGCTGTTTTGTCAGGCAACTTCGAGACCTGATGGTTGGGATGAAGCAGGGGAACTCGCTTAAAAATTTAACAGCTTAAAAACTGTGTTGTAAAGCTACACAAACAAACAGCACCTTTTAAAGGAAACCTTACCTGAGATGCCAGTCGCAACCCCCCAGCCTACAAATTAATTTGTGTTTATTGAAATTAAAAGACACTCACAGTAGGTAAAAAGCAGAGGTGGGCAGGAGAAGCAATGCAGAGGTCCTGCAAACTCAAACCAGTAACAAAGTTCCTTTCCTGTGGATGTACATCTCTTGTCTGTAATCGCACTCCTTGCCTTCCCCCAGCCCCTGGGAGTCACACGACCCCACCTTCTTCCACGGAGAAGATGGCAAGATCCCACCAACATGTTCAACGGATGCCTCGTCCTGCGGGGCACTTACCTTCGTCTCTTCTCTGACCACTTCGTGATTTCCACAGGTTCAGAGGAACGTAAATGATCTTTGGGACTAAAACCCTACATCTTGTTACAATTGTTCACTGTGTTGAAAATGGTGAGATAGACAGGCAGCAGGATCTCCTAAACCTGCTGTAGTCTTGCTTCCCAGGGCATAATAAGTGGGAATGTTTGATTGCATACAATACAAGCTAAAAAAGGAGAAAATTAATAAAAGGGAAGATTTAGTCTCACTTGAGGTCATTATGGAGTTGAGTTAGCCTCGAAGCAAGAAACCTAAAGTGTGCAGTTTGAACAGTGGAAGACACTTGAAACTGGGTCAGCTGAGCACAATGTAACACTGGTCTAAAAAGCCCAGGTATCAACATCGCCCTTAAAAAGAAAAATAAAAAGTTCACCCTACCACCTGCTTCAGGAAGTTCTCTGTCTGAAGAGATAAATTTCTTAAGGTGTTTTGTACTCAGAATATGGGCACGAACCAGAGAAATTCCTCCACAGTTGTTCCCGCAGTGAGATAGGACAATAACCTCGCCGAGAATTAGACACGGTGAGGGCTGGAGAATCCCTCTTGCTGCAAAGTAGATCAGCTGAATTCAAAAGGAACTCATAAGAGAAAAAGATAGTTTATGTAAAAATAAGCTATTTTTATTTCTTTCTTTCTTTCCCAGATACTGGAGAGTTCTCAGACATTGCTAGATGTCCTAAAGGGAGAAGCTGGGAATGCTGGTAAAGCCAGTGAGCCACAAAGCACTTCAAAAGAAAAAGAAAAACAAGGACATGGACAAAAGCATTCCTAAACTTGTTCTTCAACCTGGAAAGTCCTGTTGGTCTGGGACAGCTGCTGTTCTGGTACAAGGATGACATGTTTAATAAAAGTCTTTGTTTTGCAGAAGTCATTTTTCCTTTCAGATGCACTTTGGTATTAGTTAGAGATCTACCTAAGTTAATCCTCAAAAGCTAGAGATCAGGGTAGGCATCTACAAAAAAATACCCTTTATTTTGAGCACAGTGATACTGAAGCATATCCCAGGAGGTGACTTATCAGCTACTGCTTCTGCCCTCAAACGAGCATTCACCTCGCTCTGCCGAGAGCAAGCTAAGTTCATCTGGTCCAGACAGGGCTTAGAGGACAAAGCTGGGAAGTGCGAAGGCAGCACTTGGCGAGGTGCAAATCACAACTATAAGGTGGAGCAGGCAAACTGGAAGAAGGAGTAGAGAAGTCAGCAGCACACCAGGGCACAACGTGCTCCTCTTGAGAAGCACGCTTTGCACTCCCACGCCTTCACTGAGCCTCTCCTAACCGGGGAAGTTGTAGGCACAGAGCTAATTCACCGAGAAGAGCACGCAGAGTACCAGAGCAGCATTTCGACTGGCTGAAGTCAGTGGAACAAGCTGCAGGATATTGTTGGCTTTAGCATTTGTCACTGATCCATAGCAGAACGAAGTCAGGACTAGTTCAGACACCTCATCCCTACCCAACTGCAAGCAGCTTTCGCTTTACCACCTGCAGTTCTGTTAAGTTGTAAATCTAGAGATAGGGCTGCCTTAACTGGCCTGAGCTTTTCCACAGTGCAAGGTGCTCACTGGGACCTTTCCTGCTAGAAAAGCTGTGCATAACCTCTTCTTCAAACACAGTTCCTGATCTCCTTTGGCTGTGTGCACAGCTCCTGGCTGTGGGTGCTGCTCAGTGTTTAACTCTGCGTATCTGGTAACTTACTCATCCCTTAAATCTAGCAGTCACCAGCTGTCCTGCATTTTCCCTCATTCTACCGCAGTCTCAGCATCTTGTCCTGAAGTACTTCATGAATGGGAGAAGCCTTAGCACACGGGATTCACTGCTGTTTCCACAGTACTGGTGTCTTGTCACAGGCCAGCCATGTACTGCTCCTGGGAGGCGACGCAGGGAGCAGATCCCGAGTTAGCTTGAAAAGGACAAGCCTTAGAAGCGCAAGGAGGTACAAAGTGTTCCTTTGTGGCCCCTCCAGCCAACATCTAACAAACTGCTGAGTATCTCATTTTTTTGCACTACCTTTCCAGAAATATTTAGGCACCCAGGGCAGAAGAGAACAATAGGTACGTCCTAACATTTAGTCCTGACCATATTTGTCAGCAGAACAACCTTCCTCCTGCTGCTACAGTATACACAAAAACAAGTGCAAGGTATGCAGAGCATTTTCAGTTCATAGACCAGTGTCACCTGAAGTAGACACTCATCATCTATATATAATAGACAAACCAATAAACGCATCAAGTGTAATCAAAGATACCAGCCTGTTCCTTTGGACAGAGCCACACACTGGGGTACCACTCGTTTCATAAAGCCCAAGGAGGCCGTATCTATTCCAACTGCATCTCTTTTAATCCCAGAAGTACAAATCACATTAGCAGCAGTGTTCTGTCTTTTCCAGAGTGCAATTTTGACCCTGAGTTTACAGTAGTAGAAAACAAATGGAAGAGTCTAGCAGATTCCTTTGCATATTGGCTGCATTAAACAATTACAGTAGAACTATAAAAATCCTAGAAAAAAAAAACAAAAACAAAACATATTCCTTGTTCAAGGTCTGCAGAAGAAAGGAGTGAAACTGCCCTCCCGTGCTTTGCATTAGAGGGGCAGAGCAAGCCTGGCTAGAAGGAAGCCTCCCCACCAGCCAAGACAGATAAATCTTGGGTCGGGCCCCGTCAAATGCTGGAACAAAGCAACAGGAGGAACTGGCAAACTGAAGCACAACCAGCAGTTACTAGACACTGGATGCCAGAGGTGGGTATGGACAGATCAAAGCTATGGCCAATGTTTGGGAATGTTCAAGAGGCTCAAGCCAGTCTGGACACTTCTTTACAGATCAGTGCAAAAACACCACCTAAAGCTAAAGGTATTCATTCCTCTTCTCATCCCCCACACAGCGTGTTCAGCTTCCTTCACAAGAATATAACTGGCACGTTAACTCCATGATGGTTCAGTGAAACTAGCCCCAGAAACATGCTGAGAACCACAAACCTTCAGTGGTTTTGCAAACCGACACCCAATCTAGCTGTGAAATCTCAACCACTTCTGTGAATCCAGCTAACTGCCCAGATACTCCTGGTGCTCCAACTCCAGAACTGCTCTTCACTGGGGCCTCTGATCGGGTAGAAGTGTTACAAAAGCTGTCCAGACCCCCTACAGCACCTGGACAAGTGGACTCAGATAAGCACTGAGAGAATCTGCATCCATCCTAGGATTACAGATCTGTTCTTAACACGCTTGCCTAACAGCAGCTGATCTTGAACAAGGAATATGCAAGGCCACAGGTAGAATAAATCATACGCCTTAAAAGTAGTAGTTAGGTCCCAGAATCCAGTGCAAATATTCTCCGAAGATGCCCGATAGCATCTAGTCCACCCTTGGCATGAGGATCCAACGAAAACTGTGGTGAGGGAGAGACCCAGAAGCTTACTTCTGTGGTGCTTGCACGGACATTCGGAGGGTGCACTGACACGTTTCCTCCAGCAGCTGCTGCTGCAGGCTAGAAGATGAAGCGATCAAAAATACAGAGCAGGCTCGCTGCTGAAATCCGAGAGTCCGCCCTTCTCTGCTGGGGTGAGCTGTGGAGAAAGCAGAGTTGACATGAAGGTGTCATCAAACCCAAAGCAAATGAGTGCCCACACCTCTGGATGGCAAAGGCTGTGCTGGCACCTTGCCCAGGGCTAACGAGCATGTTTAATTCCCCCCTCCAAACGTGCCCTGGAGTACAAAGTGTGCCAGCTGCCTTAAGTCTCCTTTACACACCCAGAGAGAGGCAGGCCTGCTAGTGGCAGTGGGACCCTGTGCTGATGCCTCTGTGAGCGGTGGCACAGCTCCCTGGGCAGCGAACGCAAGTATGGGTGTTCCGTGGAAGGCACATCCCATCCCATCCACTGTCCAGACCAACCCAAGCACCGGACAAGAGCGCAGCAGGACAAAGCCAAGTCTTGCTTAATGTCTCACCATGACTTGGTTCCCATGGGAATTGGCTTCCTTTGGGAGGGGTCCCTCCGTGGCAGGCATCTCCTCATACTTCTGCTCCTGCCACTCGCTGAACTTCACGGAGTGCTTTGGGGTGTAGCTGGATAGATCTGCTGGGAGGACAAAGCTGATGTAAATGTTTCTCACCACTCCAAAAGGAAGTGGGATCAGGATCCTGGCAGGGACAGCACGGAAGCTGCCCATCTGCAGTTTCCTGTTCTGGTTCCAGCCCTGACCCCACTAAGCCCCAGTTCCGTTCTCAGACAGCAGAAGTCACCTCCATTAGCATTTCCACTTGCGTGGAGCTCCATAAGGGTCTGTAGGAAACGTGGACAGTGTCAGACACCACCAGTCACCCCACAGTGCCACTATAGAGCCTTGCTCACCTGAGTTAGGTGTATTGGGATGCAAAGTGCTATTTGGGCGTGGAATGTAAAAGGTGCAAGATTTGTCCTCCTCTGTTTCAGAAGCATGTCTTTCCTCTTCTTCCTCCTCTTCTTCTGCCAGTGAGCTCTCTGACGGGTACTCAAACATAGTCTGCAAACTTGTCTCATTAAAAGAGATCTTCATCTAGACAAGAGCAAAGGGGAATTATTAGAAAGCAGCACAAGAAGCACGGATCCCAACGCTTGCTTTGGCAAAGGCCACCTTCCACACGAGGGCTTCACCCTTGTTTAAAGGAGCCATTGCATATCCCCCCACCTTTCCCCATGTGCCTTGCCGAATCTCCTACCACACTGAGAGAAACCACCAAGGCAGATAGCCTAACAGATGGGATGGAGGCAGGAGGCTGAGAGGCCAAGAGTACCTCTGGCTTTTTGCCCAGGCGCATACTTTGCCACCATCTAACACTGGTGCCCAGCAGCCAGGAGGAGCTGCCGGCATGTCCCTCAAGAGGGATCGGTGTTGCCCAGGAGGAAAGGAAAGCATCCACACGTTGGAAGGGAGACATTGCTCATTCCTGCCAACTCATTGGTGTACCCGTGCTCTAGACCAAAGAAACATCAGGAGCAGATTTTTGGGAGGACATCCTGGCAAAACGCTATTTAAGCTAGATAAAAACAGAGTTTAATACCAGAAGCGAGAAGACAGAAGCAGCTAAAAGAGAGATGATAACAAGTGGTAGTAGAGGGGGGAAATACTGGACAAGTGGGAGGCCCTGAAAGGTTCAGTTTTGAAATGAGTTTTATTTCGTACTCTCACTAATGACCTTTGCACAATAACTGGGAGACAGAGAAAGGAAGATGACTTAAACATGGGAGTTCATCTAGTGAAAAACAGAATTTTATGGGTCATGAGGAGAACTGAAGAGCAAGAACACTAGAAACAGGGTGATGTTTAAGACCAGCCCTTGCTCTAAGAGAAGTTCATCGTCTCTGAATAACTGAGAAAATTTTGGATTGGCCACGGGACTGTGATCATCATTAGGGTGCTGCTTAAAGCAGGAATAAAGCAAGGCATTTCCACTGGGAATAGGGTCTGCCTGGCTCCATCCTCCCTGTAACACCAGCAATCAGACTTGCCCCTTCTCTCCTCCAGGCTGAACAAACCAGCTCCCTCAGCTTCTCCTCATATGCCATTTCCTCTAGCCCCAGGAGCGCTTTGGTAGCCCCTGCTGGACTTGCTCCAGTTTCTGCATCTATCCTGCAGCAGGACGCCCAAACCCAGACACAGTAACTCCAGATGTGTTGCTCAGAGTAAAAGGTGAGGGAAGGGATTGTTCCCCTGCAGCCTTACATGTCCTAATCATTATCTACCGTTCTGCTTAGAAGATCTGGTTACAAGTCATCTCAACAGGCGGAGAGGAGATTCAGCCTGTTCACACTAGCAAAAACAACGGTTGAGAAAAAGTATAACGGCTCTTTGCAAGTACACCAAGAAAATAAACACCAAGGAGCAGAGAATAGCTGATGCCAGTGCACAACAGACAAACAAGGAGGATAAGCTTGCCAGGAATAAATTTATGCCAGCATTAGGGAAGTATCCAGCCAATGCAGATCAAGGTTCAGGAGCAGCTGCCTAAAAGGGTGTTGTGATCCCTTTACTCCTAACTACATTTAAAATTGAGCTAACAGGGTTATGAACAGAATTGAAAGGGCATGGTTGCTTGTGACAGGCAGCAGGAGCTGGATGGTTCAGAAGATCTCTTCTGTGTAACAGTAACGGGCAAGAAGAAAGCGCAGCATATTTGCCCCGTGTGCCATATTTGCAGTTTCCCTCACATACAAACCACCCCACAGGCTGAGAATCAGCACGTGGCCCCAAGCAGCCATCAAGCAACCGCCCGTGCTGCCCAGGTGCAACAGCAGCCGCCGCCCCGCTGCATCTCCTGCACACGGAGCGCCGGTGCGATGCTGCTGCTGCTGCCAACGGCGTCTTCTGGAGCCGAACCTGCAACTGCACAGGGGCCAGAGCCTGCAAACCGGCAGCAAGCAGGAGCTGGCCTGCTCCTGCGTTATCCTGCACTGCCCACAGACAGACATGCTGGAGCGACGGGGGTGATAAGGGTTTTCAAGAGGAGCACTGGGGCAAGACAGCGAGCATTTCACTGCTGCTTTTCAGAAAAGCAACAAGGGGAGCTTGAATCAAACCCAGGTAACAGAGTGAGTACCTAACACCTCCTCTACAGCACAAATAAGCATTGTGGAGCTGTGTGCTCCTCTGCTCGAGTCCAGGACATAGCTTGGACACAGGTTACCTCCCTTCCCCACGCTCCCAGGAGAAGACAGGATGGAAATAGCAGAGAAGGCAACCAGCTGCCTTTCCCCATTCCCTGCCCCAGCCCTGGCCAGAGCCACTCTGACCTTCTCCAGATGACGCACGGTGAAAGGAATGATTATATCTTAGAGAAAAGGGGTTGGAATAAAATGGCTCTGAATGTCAGAGCATCCCAGTTGCTGTTCCCTGAATTTCTCACCCCTACTGCTGACCTAGATGCTCCCTGATCCGAGCCAGGCAGCGGAGCAGGCAGCGGCCGCTCACAATGTGGTGTCTGTACCGTGGGGATGAGCCACGCTGCCAGGCATGAAGGCCACGAGGGTGGAGGAGCCCAGGGCTCTGGAAGCTCAGAAGCTATCCCAGAACCAGACACTGCACACAGGCTGCTTACCAGCACTGGCAACTGTGCTGAAGAGCAAGTACTTGGCTAAACATGGAAAATAAAGGGGACAGGAGAGATGTGCCTTGTTTTTAGAATTTAAGCTTGGGAAATGTAACTAAGTTTTCCTGTTTTTTTCATGGTTTTCTGCTATCAGGAGGAAATCTCTAAGAAAAATGACTTTGAGTGCAATTTGGACCAAACCTGTGTGTAGTGCAAGGGGAGGAAACAGCCTCACCAGGGAGTAAAACCAAAGAGTAGAAGGCAGCAGAAATGACCAGGAGACAACCCCATGCAGCGCCCAGAGGCAACACGCCAACAGCCCAGCCTAAGCCCTGAACTGAAGCGCCCACTTGCCCACAGCCAAATCAACTTGGGCCACGCTCGCTCCCCAGAGCCGGGCTGGGTGTCCTGCAGAACGCTCTGCCACCGGATTTCCTCTGGTACCTGCGGCAGAGAGGCCGCAGCGCTGCAGGAGGCAATCCTGAGGCTATTCAGAAAGAGCAATCATTAACCACCCCTGCACCCAGGGCCCCAGCCTGGGGAAGAGCTCCAACAAGATAATTTGCTGCTTCAGCAACACCTCTGGTAGGGCCAGCGCAGCCTGTGCAAAGGCTGACCCCAGGCAGTCCTGCTTGGCGTGAGCACACCTCGGCACAACCCCACCGCCCCAAAACCGGGCTGCCGTGCTCTATGGTGGCGTCCCACCCCTGCACCCAGTGCACTGCTACCGAGAAGCAGGAAGAGCCCTATGGCCGCTCTGGAGTAAAGCACTCGGACGCTCCCAGGCAAAGTAAACACCAGGGGAACAACCAGGCACTGGCACAGGGTCGGACTCCTGCAAACAGGCTCTGCATGGGCAGCTGCCCTCCCCGCATCTGCACACCCCCGGGGCACTCCATCAACCCTGCCCACGCAGAGCGGAAGTCCCCAAAACCAAAGTGACAAATCTTCCATGGCATCACCTGCGTTCCCCACATAGAATCACAGAATCATTTTGGTTGGAAAAGACCTTTGAGATCATCAAATCCAACCATTAACCTAACACTGCCAAGCCCACCGCAAAGCCAT